AAGATAGGCGTAGTCCGCAAGGGCTCCGTCGCCGTCAGCTACGAGGCTGACGCATTTCAAGGTACGCATCGTATGATTCCCGCACTGTGGGAGAGATTGACAGAGTGACATAGAGAATGCGCTAGCTTATCATTCTTAGGTTTTCGCTTTTTGTCTACTTCAGAATCTTGCTACAAGCTCTTATTATTCAATTCCTTAATCCATTATATTTGCGGAATCTCCATCTTCTTTAGCAAGGGTTGATAAATGAGTAATCTTGAACATGCCATTCTAATATAGCAGCAAAGTAAGAAATGGCTGCTGTCGTCATAATGTCTTCATTGATAACAAGTACAAAAAATGCGCACTATTTTTCTACCCTTCATAATATGTTAATAGTTACCCTTAAAACCTATTAATTTCCAGTAGCGCAAATGGTTGCACCTTACCTCTCCGTATTGGAGTGTTCGACTAACAAAGACATTTTACAGGCCAAAGTAACGATTTAGCTATACATACTAATAGAACTTGCAATAGGAATAGGACGAAACTATCGCCCTATTTCGTAATTAAACGTGGGGAGGTTCATTATTGCACGCCTGGAGATTGCTCATGCTAGAATTTATAAGAATGATGGATTTTTGCGAACGCGTCTGCAAATATCAAGCCTTTACTTGTCGAACTCTTAGATCAATGATTTTATCAGAGAATATAGCATATTCTTTAAACACACATTCATAGCTGCTATAAATTGTACAGATCTTTCAATGTAGACTTTTTAAGCTCAATTTCTGTTGACAATGGGCGATTAAGTACTTAAATTAGTACCTGGAATAGGTATTCACAGCAAGTGTACTAGGATATGTAACCTTATATACTTTACTCATACACCGCAATAGAGAGGAGCTTTATATGCTCGCAACGACATCCCGGATATTGTTGCTGGGACAGCAGTAAGGAAGTGCCTTCGGAGTAGAATGATTTAGAAATTTTTTTAAAAATTGCTCTTTTTATTCTCCTATATACAGATAGGTAGAGGAGCTGAAGCTATTTCTATAACACAATACTTGAGTTTTTACTCCATCTTCTCTGATATTGCATTATTCCTCCCTACGATTGCATAGTTGCTTAAATGGGACACGATGAGAGTTCTAGCATTCTTTCTGCAGTCCCACAACCGTTATATTTACAAAATTTGCCGTGTTGTTTTATACCACTGATATATGCTGCGCGTTGACACAAAATCTAACGCTAAAACACTGATTTCGCTTTTCAGTTACAACAGAATACAAATCGAATTACATTTTTTTCTACCTACGTAGTTTGCCTTTTGCTCGCTCCGTTTGGGATGTTAATAAGACAATAAGCAGACTTTATTGAGAATAGAAGTTATCTAAGTTGAACGGAATGGATGTAAACATCCCCTCCAACTTCTATTGTTGACACAGAAGCTGTCTGGCGTTGACGAAATTCATAGAGAAATTGTCCGTTGACGTAGACCTGTACAACAATCAAAATTTCCTATGTACAGTAGAAATTGTAGATTGTAGCATAAGAGAAAACACATAGCTCTTCAGAACTGTAAAACAAAAAAAGGAGGAACTTTCTTACGAGGGTACTGTTGTTACTGCTTGCAACAACCTCAACGGTGTATATGTGCTTCTTTTCGAAGGGAAACACGGCTTCTGGTCGCTCCTCATATTGCCAACTTCCCATATAGTACGAGTTGAAAACTAAGAGTTTGTCCTAAACTTTAACAAATCTTGAGTTTGAAAAAGCTATTCTCAGGAACTTCTAGCACTATGATGTTCGTGATTTAATGGGTGCAATATTGTAAAAGAGGCTTTTTCTCAAATAGTTTATGTAACCCTCACATCTTAATTTTTTTGAATAAGCTCATCTTACATTCTTCTACTATCGTACGCTTGACGCTGCCTGTGGCGTCTTCGGAAATATGTCTTGAAAAGTATACGACGTGAGTAGCCTTTTTCTACCTTCATAAAGTAGAAGAGATTTTACTCAAATTTTTTCCACGAACCTTGTGTCGAGGATTGAAGTGCGTCAGGATGTCGTCTCCATTCTTGAGATTGATCTGTAATAAGGCTTTGCTCCAGTTTCATCACTTAATGATCGTATTTGTAATCTAGCTACCAAATTTATCAATTTCGTGCACTATATACCGTCTTCATTTTGGCATCATTTCCTTTTTTAAGTAAAAGTGTGTGTTAGTATTTTTTGAAAAAGGTATCGTAGTAGTAGAATAGTAAAAAAGCGTGCCTATGCTTTATTTGAAATCATCACGTTATCAAATCTACAAATAGATTAAAGCTATGGAGAAAAGCGAAAGAATCCACAATCCGCAAGTACAAGGTTAGGAGTTCATTGCTTGTTTCAAGTCTAATTCTTTTTCTTTATGAGAATCAGACTACGGTTGGCACGTTTAAGGAAGAGAACCGTATCTCCAGATAGGTAGTGAATTAGAAAGCCAAGTTAGTCAGAGCGTGCTGTACAATGATTTTGTCTAATTGTCTTGATTTTGTGTCTAATTTGTACTTTGAAAGTGTTCGTGTATAAAAATGCAGGCTTTTACTGCAAATAAACATCTTGTTCTATAAGCTTCAGCATCAGTCATTTGAATTTTTTCACGTTCCCAAAAGCTGTATATAAGGTAAGACCCTCTCACAACAAACGGATCACATACAAATGACGCCGGACCACCTCCAAGGCGCTCATTACAACGGTTAACGCTATGAAGTGGATTAGGTAATTACACGGAAGTGAGATAGCAATGCAGTGCTGAAAGCATAATAAAGGGCAAAACAAATGAGAGAGAAGCTGTCCAAGCAGGTGGTGCAGGTATAGCATAATCAGAATGAAAGTAATCTGAGGCATTTCTGTAATCTAGATGAATACTCTACTATATGTTGCAAATTATGTGATAATTTGAGAATGTCAACCGAATCTTCATCTTCATCCAACTTACTGTCCAAATCGCATCTCTCTTGTCTTTAATCTGGAGGACGACGCGAAGACGACTTCCCGGTGGAAATCCTCTCACAGACAATTCGAAGGGATTAGTCTGCAAGTGACTGGCTCAGTGGTTCAATTCAACCCTTATCTATGGTGATTGCGCTTTCCAAATATTTCCTTGAGTGGATTCATGCGAAGAAACAATTTTTAATTTTGTGAAGAAATTCGGGAAAATAGTTTAAAGTTGATCACAACGTTAGGAAAAGAAGCATTGCTCTTCTTCATTAACTTCTTAGCTTTTCGCTACGTATTTTACGAATAAATTCAAAAATTGGTACTCCATATCATGAGTGAGACACACTACTCCAAACAAAGTCTTTGGCTTTTCTGCTTTCTTCGTTATTGTAAATCTCTTGAGTAGTTTGAAATCAATAAGTCGAGTTGAATATTTTGTAGGCACTATTTATGATGCTTCGGAGCTTACCGGGTTGAAGACTTCTTTTGAAAATAGCGGCGTTGGTGGACCACCGTAGGGTTGCAGCTCTGGACCTCTATAACTACCCGAATAGTATGCTCCAATCATTCTGAAGTTTGCAGCTTTGTAACACCGCATTTGAGTTGAAGAAGGTTCATTTTGTGAGCTTTAAAGATAGAATTGCTAGAGGATGCATTAATCGGGCCAAGACGTTAGATTTAACACCAAGGGCAATGCTGCAACACAAAAGAAGCATTCATGTATGTAAGCACGTAGAAGCGGAAATTGTAGTATTCACCGAAACACTGTAGGATACTAGCGATAACAAAAAGGAAACTAAAAAGGACTGTTGATAACGCAAACAGTTCCATTTGTTGACTCAATGGAAAGCTAAAAGCGATAGCTGACTCAATGTTTGATGATAGCCCTTAAGAGGTGCACTGGTATCTGCTATTCTTTCGAGATGTTAAAATGTGAAAAAGAATTGAAATTGAAAGTAAGTAAAAATGTTGAAAGGCCTAAACTAGCAAGCTTAAGAGTACTTTATTACGTCAGCAGCTCATTCTCGTAAATATTTGTTGATTTTAATGAGTTTTTCGTTGTCTAC